GCTCCGCGGGAGAAAGATGAGGCTTTCTACTCACGTAAGGATTTACACCCTCGGAAACCCTGTACAGGGTCGCTATGGGTCGGAACCGACTCGACGGCACTTAACAACAACAACAATGTCCAGGTTGCCCATCCCTGTGTACTCTGTGTGTGGAGTGGGTGGGAATGATTCTTGCTGTAAGATCAGTGCTGAGTTTTTTAAAAATAGATTTTCCCCTTTTATTTTAGTGATTCTTGGTTTCTTCTTTTCTTTGGTGAGTAGAGTTATATACTTTACGGTTACAGTGAAGTTTACAAATGTCACACCTACATTTACAATGTTGTCTATTGAAGCCACCTTAATTTCCTTGGCATGTGAAAATTCTGTTTCTACACCAATCATTCCCTTTCTTGTTTTGATGTTACCATCAATTACAACTTTGTACCCTGGATTCCCTGTAATCACATTTTAAGTTTCTTTTGTTGTTGTATGTATTCAGGTTGCTGTTATGTGTCAATACTTTGAGTGGTTGGCTGGTCTAGTTAGTTTTCTTTCTGGAGGAATCCCTTTACTATTTACTATTTCCTGTAGGGCTGGTCTGGTAGTTACAAATTCCCTTAATTTTTCTATATCTGGAAATGTCCACATTTCACTCTTGTTTTTGAATGACAATTTTGCCGGATATATTATTCTTGGTTGATAGTTCTTTTCTTTCAAAACTCTAAATGTCACCCCATCCCCTTCTTGCCTGCATTGTTTCTGGGGAGAAATCAGCACTTAATCTTATTGGAGCCCCTTTGTAGGTGATATTTTGCTTATTTCGTGCTGCCTTCAAGATTCTTTATCTTTGTTTCTGGAAAGTGAAATTATAACATGTCGTGGTGTTTTTCTCTTCGGATTTAACCTATATGGAGTTTGTTGAGCTTCTTGGATGACAATCTCTTCATCTTTAATGATATTGGGGAAGTTTTCTGCCACTATTTCTTCAAAAATTTCTTCTAGACTTCGTTTCCTCTTTTCTTCTTCTGGAATTCCCATTATGCGTAGATTGTTCCTCTTAATGGTGTCCCGCAGAACCTTTATTTTCTCTTCAATTTTCTTTTCTCTTTCTATTTGTTCTTCAAGTGGAGTAATTGCAGGAGTTTTGTTTTCTATATTGCTGACTCTTTCTTCTATAGCTTCTATTTCACTTTTGTATTCTTCCACGGAATTATTTATTTTTGTTATTTTATTATTAAGCTCTGGAATTTCTGGTTGTTTTATATCTAATGTTTTTATCTCTTTACTTAGTTTCTCATTTTGTTCTTGTATTGTTTTCCTGAATTCTTCCAAAAATTTTTCCATGTTTTCCTTAATGTCATCGAGAAACCTTAATACTAGATTTCTGACATCTTTGTCGGGAATTTCAGAGCAATAAA